AAAAAAAAAAAAAAAAAAGAAATGAAAGAAAGAAAGAAAAGAAAAAATAGAAAACTCTTCATACATAAAGCACCTTAGCAAAGTGCGTTAGGCATGTGGAGTGTCCTATAAGTTGCCTTTTTCATGGACGTATATAAAGTATGACCTGTCAGTAAGAAATGGACAACAGAAGGGGCTTTAGTATAATCAGACAAGGCATATAATAGAGGCAGCATTAGCCTCTGTCACCCTGAATCAACATGTGCATAAAGTAAAACTTAACTTGGCAAGCTATTACATTTGTACTCTTGTACATAACAGAACATTTATTTTTGATAAATTCCACTAGTTTTCTATTTTTTTTTATTTCAGTCCACTTTCAGCCGATAAAGTAATTTTATTACACATGCAACATATTAGTGGCGGAATCCTTCATGCTATCACTGTTAAAGGGAAAATTCTAAGTGGATTTCGAATTTAAGGCCACAAGACTTGGAATGGAAAGAGAATTTTTCCAGTTTGGCTATTTTGACCTTAAATTTTATATTCGCTTTGAATTCAACTTGAATTTTCACTATAGTGAATAACCCTATATAATTCCTAGGCAGGACTGCACCATTTTCTTCACACTAAACAGTCTCTGTACCACCATTTTGCACTCCTTAATATATTTATTTCTTACGCAGTATTAATCAGTTTGGTGATTAGTCTTACTCCATATCTCGTCAGGTTCATCAGACAATGTGTTGGGTGACATAGTTTATTTTAGATTGCCTAGATGACAAATCCAGTTATGATGACTTGCCTCTCCCTACATCAGACAGCAGCCTGGACCAAACATTGTGGGTTACAATGACTGCCATCAAAGGGTAATAAAAAAAGATTTTCAATAAATGTATAAACCTTTCACTTTTAATTCACTTCCAAAGAAAACCTGTCTGGAAAAAAAAAAATAAAACAGTAAAATAATTATTATAATTAACAAATGTCAAACTCTGCCAAGATCTGCCTTATTTCACAACAGCTAAACTCACTAACTGGTATCAGAAGACCATTTTCTAGTATTTTAAAGTAGTGGTTCATTACCCCTATGTCGTGACCCAAAATTGGTTACCTTTTGGTAAAAACAGACACATTATACTCAATACATTAAACTGCCAACAATAAATTGCACAGCTTTCCCCAGAGCAATGAAAACTCAACTGACATTCAAGTCAAGAGTCAACTGAAGATTATACCCCCGAAACAGGTGAATACTAGCAATAAAAGCCCACTGAATGGAGCGTGTGGCAGCGTGAGAACCCTCCCTGACTGGCGAGCGTAGCCACAAGCATAGGGGGACCTGACAGGCAACATGGAAACCCAGAGAAGAAGGGTAGGTGAAGGAGAGGGAGCTGGGAAGGGTAGGGAGAAGGGGGCTACACAGACCCAGGCCACCCAGGTAGGGGATCCCTGTTTGACAGGGAACTCACAGACCCAAACACTACCACAAGATATATAATATATAATACAAGACAATAAATTTATAGATATAAAACGTATATAAACATCTACATAAAACAAGATAAGCCCAAAATGTGTAGATACACAATATTCTGACCTGACTTGTGATGGAGCAGCAAAGAAAGGGGAAGTGCCTCAGTGGGAGGTGTATGTTATACTATCTGCCTGTTTCTGATTGGTTCCTTTTTTCTATGTGTTCTTTGCTGCTACGGAGTAGTAAAGGAAGTTAATGCTTAATTACATCTGAAACAAAATTGTAAAGTGAGGACATCAGACAACAGGCACTACACTGTGTTATAAATATTCAAAACAAATAAAATATTTTTAAAGAAGTTACAATAGTTATTTTAATAAGTGAATCCCATAAATTAAGGGTTACTCTAAATAAAAGAGCAGTGTTTTCATAAACCACTGGTATTGGTCAGAGTTACACTTGTTGTGCTGGTTTGCCAGAAAGGGAGGGAGATCAGGACATGTGAATCACAGATGGATGCATGCTGGCTAATGACACCTTAATAAAGCGGACGGAAGTGGGCTTACATCTCTGGCAGCAGAGGGTTAAATTTTGTTGCACAGCATTTCATAGCACCATGACCACTTTAAATCACATAAGTGGTTATGGTGTTTGGAGTACCACTTTAAATACATGTACCTGTTTTATGAAACTCACCTAAATGGCCTAAATTGGCAAAGCCCATATCAGAGCCTGACAAATAGTGATTGTGGCAGCTGTGGTGTGGTGAAAAAAACAAAACAAAGTCCCTACAGCAAGAAATCAAATTAGGTGTTCTTTTTCTATATATCACTACCACTAGTAAATTGCATCCATCCTAAATGACAAGAATAGTAATTGAACATATTTTGGAGAATGGAATGTAATGATAAGTAGGCAGGGTCTGCAGAAATAATTAAATGTTACTGAAAGTAGTCAATAAATGCCAAAAATTGGCCCGGGCTTTCTGCTGAACAGGCAGAGCTTTCTATAAATTCACTGTTTTATTCTTACTTTAATGATTATTGCATTTGTCAAACATATCTTCTTCAGCTGCATGCCAAGGAATACCAAAGGTTACATCTTCGGCTGTTTCGTTATAACTAAAGCTCCCACAATTCCGTTCCACAAGCCTGTAGCTGGATTGAAAGGCACTGGATTTTGTAGGAGTTGCACCTGGGATACAGCTCGAGAGGTACCTTTATACACCACCAAAACTTAACTGACCACAGAGTTCTGTTATTACTGCATAATGTGTTATTTAACAATTTAATTGGAGAGGGATTTGGACAAAACTGCACATAAAACGTCTCACAATGGCTCAAATGATGTGTTCACGTAACATTCGTTCAACAGGAAAACCACTGTGTAGCTAGACCTATGTCAAAGAAAATATCTCTGGCATTTTGCTTGGTTATTTCTTTGTACTTTTTGGATTCTCAACCTGTGGAGAGGAGTGGTAAGATGCGCATGCATAATTGAAGACAAACAGTTTCCTCCACCATGCAGAAATCTAGGGAGACATGCTAATTAAATGCAAAAAAGGTCAATGTTGAATGTGATCACAATATACCAAATAGGAACCGCACTCAATCCACATAAGCTAACGGTGCTAAACCAGACCATGGGCCAGCACAATCTCAACAAACGCAAATCTACATAATAGAGAAGAGGTCCAAGCTAGACAAAGACCCATATGTCGGTCGAAACGTTGCAGTGTTCCATTGTTCCAATAAATGTACCTGAATCTATTGGAGTGCCTGGATCTCTTCTGTATCATCAACATTAATGTTGAACATTATAAAAAAAAATTGACCTTCTAGTAATTTGCTAATTCAATAGCGAGATGTTGGTATATTTCAAATATGTTTAAATTACGACTATTTTAGCATGTTGGCAGATGTCAAAATAAAAATAAAAATTCAGTGCGAGTGATATTTGCAGTGCCCATTATTTTTCATTATCACAGCAGTTTAGTCATCATTCCTTTGATATATTTTGGTGATGAAAATGCAAATAGTAACATTTTTATTATTTCCTATAATTTTACTGTTATGTTTTCAATTTCGTCTGGTTAGTACGCCTGCTCTGTGTGTGCTATTTACTAAATATCTAATTATTATGACATGAGAATTGACTTCCAAAACTGAAGGTAAATTATTATTACCATTAAAATTTATATAGCTCCAACATATTCAACAGTGTTTTACATTTATACAGTGGCGATATAAAACAGCAATAATGTTGACAGATAAAAAAGGTAAAGCAGTTTCAGCTGGGAAGGTAAATACAGAAGAAAAAAAAAAATCTGAAATTTCTTACTGTTTAGTAAATACAGTCAATTATTGTGATGACCCCGTCTCTATCCTGATATCGCACTCTTCTTTATTTTTTTCCCTCTCAGTACAGCTGTCATGGTTATTTATTTAACCCCCAAATTTCACAAAGCAGTGATTACAGCTGATGTGCAGATTTTTTCCAGATCAGTTATATTTTCTAGACATGCGCAATAATTAGTTTTTAGCTATTCCGTATAAAATTCCTGCTAATTTTCAAAATTAATTGATTCCAAACATTCGGTTTGTTCATAAACGTATCGAATTGTCCAATTTAAAATCCTTTTAGAAAGGATTTTAATTAGGACCCTTTGGTTTGTCTATGAACGATCCTAGTTTTCAGAAATAATTAGTTCAACAAATAGCATACATTTTATTTGGATGAATAGCAAAACACATTTTTGTGCATGTCTAATGTTTACCCCAGTAATGCCATTTGGAATTAATTTAGTGAATTAACTGTATGAATCTACTGATGAATTTCAGCAATCCCTCTACTGATGGTGATTCCACAAACACTAAAAGGTTTATTTATTAAAACGAGCAATGACTGTCATTTTAAGTGAATTTGAAAATGTTACATTTTCTAAATCAGCTATGCTTCCAGTTCGAAAATGTTTACTTTGAATTTGCTTTAAATTGCCTACAATTCTCATTCTAGTGAATATCCCTGTAGAATATTTCCCTGGATTAATCCTAAATTTTCCATTCTGCTTTGGTGCATGCCCTATTAATCTACCTGCCATTGTTCTGTAAAAACTGCCAGTTTCTTGTGCATTCGTCTTAAATAAATATTTTAAAGTTGGAAGATATGATAGTCAAGTCAACCCACTTAATGAGAAGTTTGAAGGCCTGAAGCTTTTACAATATGTTATCTCATGCTACACAAGACATAAACCAAAAAATTTAACAGAGGAGATTTTATGTGTAAATTGGACATTTCTTTCATAAAAAGACAGTGACATGAGTGGATCCATATAGAATATATTAAAGTTTGGACAATGAGCAGAATTATTATTTTATGGACAAATTAGTATGGATATTCTGAAAGAGAGGACATACAGGACTACAGCAAGTTATTTGTTTGCCCCATAAATATGGAGATCCATTTCATGCGGCGTTATAAAACATCCATGCATATCCCAAATTTTGCATTCCATGTGCAGTATCCACGTATATACCCTAGAATGAGAGAAAACCTATTTGGCTCATAGTAGGTGGATCCTTGCTCTCATACGTATATTTTGGAGAAGATGCTTTGCAATCGGACTATGCACACGATACAATAATCCATCACCAGTAAAGCTGTCCTTGATGATCTTTTTGTGCGAGAACCACACTATTTTCAATGCTGTGCATTTCAGTTCTAAGTTTATAAATATCATAAAAAATAAGTAGGTCCTGAAGGTAAATCAGACATCTTTTCAAATACGGGCTACCCGACTGAACAGAGCAAAGATGATTGCATGAAACGCCTGCAGCAATATGCTGTGCTTCTTCTTATTCTGCTCTGACCACATGTTCTCCTTGACGAGAAAATGACAGAGATCTTATACAGCTGTTTTTGGACTTCCTCTTGATGTCCGTTGGGCATGTCAGTAGCTGAATGTACCATAACACATCACCAGGCTTTAGAGACATGGATGCCTGGAAGACCATGTGCATGTTGGACATTCCACATCTGCAGATCATGATTTCTTTTTTTTTTTGTATTGACAGATGTCAAGCAACAGAAGTGACACGAGTTTCCTAAGGTAGCCCTGTGGTGTTAAAAAGTCTTCAAAAGTGCATTTTATTCTCCTACCAAAGGATTGCGGTCATCGTGTGGACTCTTAATTTTCTTTGGGAAGATAGAAATTGACGTGGAAGGCTTGTAGAATATGCTCCAGATTTCTCCTGTAGACCCTCGATGACAACTGTCCAAGCTAGTCGGAGATGATAACCTAGGAGATCTAGTTAAAGAAAACATAAAAATCGATTAATCACATTAATAATCGTTATTTTTATTTTGTCACTCTACATAGAACACTATACTGATCTCATTTTTATAATAGATACATGTCCCCAGTTGACCTACAAAGGATATACTTACTTCATGGTTATGTGTAACAGTGCTTTAGTCAATATGGCAAGGATGGTCAGAATTAGAAGTGCTGTAAGTGCATAGACTGTCCACCCTATTAAAAATTAAAAAAAGAGGCAATTAGAAACGTATTTTGACTTTGGCACATTTGCAATCAAATACATGGGTTCTGAGCTTTTAAAAATAGCATGTAGCTTATAAGTACATGCTTTTTTCATGTTTCCTGATGAGAATCTCATAGGGTTTTTCAGTAAGTGAGAATTCAACGTGAACTTCAAATTTAAGGGCAAAACAGCTTTCCTTCCAGTTTGGCCTTAAATTTAAAATTCACTTGGAATTCGCACTTTGCTGAATAACCCTGTAAATATAACTTCTTCTACAGAATAGGAAAATTTTATTTTTGCAGTTTAATAATGTATGGTTTAAATTGCTAACACAACATACAGGAAATGTTCTTGCTCTAGTTAATAAGTAGTAAATAATAATACATATGTTAGGAAATCTATTGGACAATTCATTCTTGTTTTAAACCAAGATTTTGATTTAACCATCACATAATGATGATTGCTTTGTGGGTAAATATGTGACTGTTCTATCACATCTAAAAAAAAATTAAAAAAAATTAACAGACATTTTATAGATGCCATTTACTGTCTGTGTTTAATAACACACATATTAACCCACTAGATAAGTAGAAGTTAGTATACAATACTAGCACAACCTCACATCAATATTTCCTCACTACATGACTATGATATGAGAAGTGCTCTCTTTGAAAAACCATTCCCCTTATCCTTATTTCCTACGTTGATATTTCTATTTTGTAGGAGCTAATGGAATATGGCTTGTGTCAGAATACAATAGATCTATACAGTAATAAAGCCCAAAGTAATGTCTTCTGTCTATGTGTTGTGGCTCCCGGCCCGCCGCATGGCGCAGCCGTGCCCAACCGGTACGACCTCGCCGATATTGCGAGCAAGTATATTCCTACTAAATCAGGTAGCTTGTGTGTGCGTGTGTACAAAATCACATGTACATTCCCGTTTGTTAATTTCCCCATCTCCTCTCCTTACACCCATTCTGAGAAACAGAGTATTCCATTCAGGTATGATACCACATAACTTTGCTAGATTTGAGAATGACTGTCATATATTGGGGTGTTATGCAGTCCACCTTCCCGCAGATGGCAGCATAGTGAATTTATGCACTTGTTTCCTGTTTGTGTTAGTGTCTCTTGTGTTATACTGTTGCGGCTCCCGACCCGCCGCATGGCGCAGCCGTGCCCGACCGGCACGACCTCGCCAACATTGCGAGCTTACCTGCTTGTCGGCGAGCCAGGAACTGCTCCTCCGCGACTTCTGAGCGTTGCGCCCAAATCAAAGATGGCGCTGACCATGTGGTCGCGCACACCACAAGCTCCGACCCTCAAATGTATCCGGACGTGCACGTGACGTCATGATGTCAACGCACGCGCACGTTCTGGGGTCAGAGGTCACCCTCTGACCAATCAGAGCCCAGATAGGGATATTTAAATCCCTAATTCACTCCAGTTCCTTACCCTGTCATGGTTTCCTGTTCCTGGTTCCCAAGAGTGCGTTTATCTTTGTGAATCTGACTTGCTGGTATCCTGATCTTGGCTTTTCCCTGGTTATTCCGAATTCTGGTTCCACTGACTTGGCTTGTTTAAACGGTAT